ATGGATTACAATAAACAAAAATGGAACTGTTCACATTCTTCTTCTTCGTCTTCTTCTCCTTCTTGTCCTTCTTCTTCTACATCTTCTTCTCCATCTTCGCCTTCTTCTTCTTCTCCATCTTGTCCTTCTTCTCCATCTTCTTCCTCTTCTTCATCTCCATCTCCTTCTTCTTCGCCTTCTTCTTCTTCTTCCCCATCTTGTTCTTCTTCTCCATCCTCTTTTTCTTCTCCATCTTCTTCTTCTTCCCCATCTTCTACCTCTTCTTCTACTCAATCTTCTTCTTCTTCCCCATCTTCTTCCTCTTTTTCCTCTCCACCTTGTTCTACTTCTCCATCTTCTTCAACTTCTTCTTCTACTTCTCCATCTTCTTCTTCTCCATCTTCTTCAACTTCTTCTTCTACTCCACCTTCTTCTTCTTCTCCATCTTCTTCAACTTCTTCTTCTACTCCACCTTCTTCTTCTTCTCCATCTTCTTCAACTTCTTCTTCTTCTCCACCTTCTTCTACTCCACCTTCTTCTACTTCTTCATCATCATCTTCTTCTTCCTCTCCATCATCATCATCTTCTTCTTCAAAAGAAAGTATATTAATCAGGCAATTCGAAAATGATGCTCATCTATCATTGTATGAATTAAACTAACCATAATTTAATTGTATTTATTGTTGATTTTAATAGAATAGACATTGAATAGATAAATGTACAATAAAAAAAATTTTTTTTTAAAAGTGGATCATCTCAGTAATGACCATGATGATTAGATTAGATGAGTTAAAGAATGTCTTAGATACATGTACATACGTATATATACATATACATATACATGTATAGGTATACTGATGAAAACAGTCTTGTGTATTTGAGCACTTATAATCATCATCATTATAAGAACATTAGTTCGATTAGTTTTTATATTGAGATGATTCTAACAACAACAACAACAACAACCACCACCACCATCACCACCACCACCACAACAACAACAACGACATGTTATAGATTATATTGATTACATATTTTATTACACAATAATGATGAATAGTTTTGTAACCAGTTACCTTTATCACATATTCTATTGAATCAATCAATCAATAATGAATGAATGAATGTTTTTTTGAATATAAAAAAACAAAAAAAAGGCCTTAGTAACTATGCTGATGATTTGTTATATTTAAAAATAGGAAACAACAAAAGTGTCATGTAAATGTTCATTATAATTTCGAATCATTTGATTTATATAGATATATATATATATATATTATTGCCTAGGTGATTAATTAGAAAAGAAGATATGATAGTAAATTAGTGGATAAGGTTGTCAACTGTTCATTGACTAAGATCGTTAAGTCATATGTGTGTTGAATATGCTTGAATACTGATAATTACAACACATGATTCTGATTAAGGGATGGATGGAAGAAGATTTGGGGGTGGACAAATCAAAATGTGACATTAGTACTTGAAGTCACTAACTTCTAGGCTGAATCATTTTGGTAGATGCAGATTACTTGGTTGGGGTCTACTTGACTATTGTAACCAATAGTTGGAGACTCTGTGTGACATGACTCAGAATCGATCATAATGGTGTAGGTGTATTCACTCTTTGTCTTCCCTCAAACTATGAAATTTCTTGAAATATTTCTTCCTACGAACTAATTCTTTCTTCTTGCACTAGATCCTTATACACAATTTTTCCCTTATACATTAGTACCATTGAAGTGACTACTTCTATGAATCCAGTGTTCATCTTGTTGTGTGGTTCTAGCTTAGCTCTAAGTAATTTTGGTGTATATTTCTTTACTCTCAATCGAATAATGTGATATATCCTCTGTGTACCTTTTCCCTCCATGCGTTTTTGAATTGATAAATACAACAGAATGATAATGAAACTAGTGTGAAAGTATGGGTTTTAATATTTCAGAACTTATGGAAGACGTTTTCCTAGTAAGCGTTTTAGCTGCCGTTATAAAATAATACTTTTTAAGCAGTCTTAATATGGGATAGAATGGACAGCTAGGATGCAGCTGGACGATCTAGACTTCACGGATGATCTAAACCTTCTATCGCCAACGCAACAGCAAATGCAGGATAACACGACCAGTGTAGCAGCAGTAGGTCTCAACATACACAAAGGGAAAAGCAGGATTCTGCGACACGACACAACACAACGTGCATCAATCAAGTCACACTTGATGGAGAAGATTTGGAAGATGTAAAAACATTTACATATCTAGGCAGCATCATTGATGAGTACGGTGGGTCTGATGCAGATGTGAGGCAAGAGCAGAATATCTACAATTGAAGAACATCTGGAACTCTAAACAACTCTCTATCAAACAACACCAATTTCAGGATTTTTCAATACACATGTCAACACAGTTCTACCGTATGTGGTGTAAACTTGTAGAACTACGAAAACCATCATCCAGAGCATACAAGTGTTTAATAACAATTGTTTATGCAAAATACTTCGGATCCGTTGATCAGACACTATCAATCACAACCTACTATGGGAGAGAACAAACTAGATTCCTATTGAGAAGGAAATCACGAAGAAGCACTAAAAGTGGATGGAACCCACACAATGTAAGCCCTCACTTGGAATCCTCAATGCCAAAGGAGAAGAGGAAAATTGAAGAACACATTACGCCGAGAAATGGAGGCAGATATGAGAAGGATGAAAATCAAATGGATAGAACCAAAAAGAAAGACCCGGTAGAGAATGGGTTAGAGAATGCTTGTTGACGACTTATTCTCCATTGAGAGGTAAAAGGTCTAAGTAAGTATGTAAGTAATTCACATATTTTTTAAAGTTCAAATCTAATTAAATTCGAAACATTCAATTCTTTATAAGTAGTAAAAATCATATTTAGAATTTTGATAAAACTGAAAATTATTCTTTTAGAAACATGAAGTAACATGTTACTATACAATTTCATTTGGAGTACATGTTTGAATATCGTTACTATGTCTTGTTATTTAAATAACGCTATTAGTTAACTTTATACAAAGTGTTTTATTAAATGTGTAATCGTACTATAACCAGAGATGTATGGTAGCCAACAATGGAATACAGTATACGTGGTTCGTCCTATTTGAGTTTCGAAGTGAATATCAACTCTAGGATACAAACGTATCTACGTGACAAGTTTGAATTTTTTAATAACTTGTGACCTGTGTACCCTGTTAATGTATAACGTAACGATGCCGTCAATTAGAAAGCAGTGAATTATCGATCGGATCAATGACACGTCAAACGCGTAGGAGCAGTCTAAAGTACTTATCGGTCCTGCTTCCTGCCTAGCCAAGTCAGTTAAGTTCAGAACACCAATCTCAGTCTCTGCAATATGAACCGTTTATTTCAAACATACTCGGTTTATATACCAACCAGACAGACCACATCGTATCATGAAATAGGAAACAACATCTGTACAAGAATTAGCCAAATGTGACTGTGAATGAGGGAGGTAGTAATTAATAGACAGGGCATAATTCAACAATGATAAATCGTATAATAATAGTTCATATGTCAAAATAAAGCTCATAATAAGAGGGACATGAATATGAATAGTTTAGTTACTTAAAAATTATACGACAAAAAATATAGGTATCGTATTGGTCCATAAATGGATCCCAAAAGTTCCCAATTCATTATGCTTATCGGGACATAACAGATTTCCAACTATTAACTTTAGCATAAGAAAGGAAAACCAATTACATACGTTAAATGAATAGTAAAACTTCTGTTCCATATACATTATACTCTGATCCATCTTGGTTGTCTACATGATCTCCGAATTACTGGACACTTTTACAATTTGTAAATGTTTGTATAAGAATTATTATCCCGTACTATTCACTATTATTCTTCCTGAACTCCAGTTTATAGTAATGAAGGCATTATTATGTATATTTTTATGAATAGACAACTAATCAGTGATATTTTATTAGATACCAATCATCTACTACACTTACAACTTCTCTTTTGTATATCTTGTAGCGGAACTAAACTCATATTACTTTAGAACTCAATCACTGAATGAAAAGTACAAAAAACTCTTCAATCCCTTCCCTAGCATACCTATTACACGACGATTACATAACAGCTGATGTAACCGAGAAATCTTAAGTATTCCGATTGTTTACGATAAATGACATATACGGAAATTAAATGAGATTCGGTGAGATATGGTATGTTGGGAATTCTATATTGAACTACATATATAATATTGAATAATACGTTTATTATTATCTATGGAAGCAATATAATCCATTCTATGAAAGAAGAATAGTCTTTTCAGTTAATTCTCTTTATGTTCTATCATTATATATCCAAATTATTAATGTGAAAATTGACCAGATTTAAGGTAAAAAAACACATCGTGAATTTAAGATTGTTTATGATATCGAATAAAGCTGCTAATGTTGCTAAGGCTAATATTGATGAGTTTTCGATTGAAATCATGAAACGATCAATGTTAGACTACGATTGAAGACCAAAGGTCTTGAGTTCGAGTCACATATGCGGGGTTGTGGATGTGAACTGCTGAGAAGTACCATACTAGTACGAAACAAACGTCCAGTACTTCAACGTTTTCGATGGTGGTCTAACATTGATCAACTCATTATCTCAATCAAAAGATGTGAGATTATTCTTTAGAATAAATATGGATAACATAAAGTAAGAGATATTATATAGTTGGAAGTTTGATCACATTTTTGTTGAAAGACTTTATTGTATGTGGAGTTCTATGAATTCAGTACGAAATAATAAAGTGGGATGATGGTGGTGGGGAAATTGTTAGTGATTGTCAATCGACAGTAGTAATAATAATAATGAATTAAAGCAAAAAAGACAGCTATATGTGACTAAGAAAGGTTGATTAGTCAAGTTAGGTCACTCTGTAGTTACGACTACTATTCATTAATTGGCCTTGAAGTTGACCAGATTTAGAGAAGAGGGTTGAACACATTTCTTTTGTACACATAGCCCAGGTTTTTTGATCCGAATGACTATTGTTTCTGCTGTTTTGAAGGACATTAAGTAGGACTAATTTTGTCAGAACATGACAAACCCGATAAACTATTGAGAAAGATTGACTCATACTGGGGTTTTGATCAGTTTGCATTAAATGGGCCAGTATTGAGCTATTCATTGTATCCGCTACATTTTGGCTTAAATAGTTCAAAAGGTTTTCATGAGCACAAAATTGTAAGTCACAATTGATTGACCACTGGGTGGTGATCAATGTCATTTGTGTCAAGTCCTTTTTTAGTGCAGATCGAATGCTATCGATCATGTTGCAATGTGGCCACCAGTCTAGGTGGCTCGACACTGCGTGCACTATATATTGAGATTAGTCCTACAGGAGGTCAGTCGTTGCCCGGATAGCTCAGTGGTAACGTCTCTGACTGTGAAGCTGGGTGGCACGGGATCGAATCCACCAGGGAGCACCAGTTCCTTCAAGGTTACTGGTACACTTTGCTGACGAGTGCCAAGTAGCACGAAGCCCAGTTTCGTGGTTTCCTGTCGACTACCTCCGACCACCATCTAATCTAGAAATTGCAAGTTCCCAAAACTTTGAATAATATAAATTGCTTCACAAGATTGGTAGGACTGATAAAAATAAAGTAATATGGTC